ACCTCATCCACAGTTTGATGGTTGAGAAAAGTCCTATTAAGCATGTCCCACCTGAGTGAACCCAGGTAACTGGATTAGCATGAATTTAAATCCCTGGGCCCAGGTCTGGTAGACAGTGGGTGCTCAGCTACTGAGGCCAGTCCCAGTGCTTCTTTACGATCCTGGCATGGAATGTGTGGTGGGCAATCCTTATATCTCAGCTTATTTCTAGTTCCCACGTCTCTGGCCCTCTGTCTTGGTGGGAGGGAGCTGTACGGTTCACGGCCTATATAAACCATGCCTACTGATGTGGGAATTGTGTCTTCTCCAGTTCCAACTCATTATGACTGCATATTATCCGGAAGAATCTCTCAAAAGAGAACATCTAACAGAAGAAATCTTAAAATACATTCCCTGACCTCAAAAAGCCATATCCTTGACCCCAACGATTCCTATGGTACCTCTCTGCATGTGACATACCTAAGTGTACAGTGTAGGACTCACAGAACTCCTCAGGTTTACAATGTTGAGCTTCCAGGTAACAGCTAGGGTTAATCCTCCATTTAGACCACTGATAAAATGTCAAAAAAATTTACAACGGTCTCTGCAATAAAGAAATGCAGTAAGAAATATTCAAGAGGGCTTTGAATGCCCACAGAGATGCCTTTCTGACCCCTCTTCCTGCTCCATAAGAAGTCACTGGGGTAATGTAAGAACTGAACCAACCAACCTTGCTCTGTTAACAGGCTCCACAGAAGGTGTCTACTGCTAAGAAAATGTGCATTCTCTATATTTTGATACCTTCCAACAAAAGTAAAAACAATACAGACACATCTGGCAAGCCACGCTGATCAGACAGGTCCAAGTGACACCATCCCATCATCTTGGCTTCTGCCTGGCTGCCTGAACTCTCACCATTGGCATCTCACCCTGAGCTGGCCCCTGCCGCACGATGTGACCCAGGTGTGGAGTCCTACAGAAGGCACCACAACAGGAACATCTCCAGCAGCCATCCCCTCAGCTGACCACAGTGATTAAAAAAGACTGTATCCGCCCGGCCGGGGGGCTCAGCAGCTGAGCATCGACTTACGGTCCAGAAGATCGAGGGTCGATTCCGGGCAGGGCACATGCCCAGGCGTCAGGCTCGACCCCCAGCAGGGAGCGTGCAGGAGGCAGCTGATCAATGACTCTCTCTCCCCTCCTCCCTTCCTGTCTCTGAAATCAATAAAAAATTTAAAAAAATAAATAAAAATACTGTATCCAATTCTTTAGGGAGATCTGACTACAGGTGAGAAATACGAGGGCCTTCTGTGCCGGGCCCGAGTTGAGGTTTCTAGGGTTTGGGTTCCAGCGGCTGGACACGTACACAGGACCACATCCACGTGGCTTTCACTAGCTGTGGTCGCATCTGGCGCCAGTGGCTGCCCTCCTGAATTCTCCTGTGAAATCCTTCACGATGGTCTGCAGGGCTCACGTAAAGAGCGTCTGCTGACCTCTACTGTAAGATCTAATGTGAGCTCATTTGGTTTGTTTTTACAGTAGGGCCCATGTGACCTTTCCCAGATGAAAGGCCAGAGAGGGGCCCCGCAAGCCCCATGGCAGGGAGAGGTGTCTCCTCCCACTCTAGTGCAGGGCTCGTCCTCCGGCAATTGTTCAGACCTTGACTGCTCCTTCCTGTGGGCTCAGTGGTGAAGATGGTTTTCAAATTTGAGTTAATAAATGGTAATTCTGTAAGATACTTTGAGATCCTTGAAGGTTCCAGTATGTCCTGACTAGGCAATGCCCTCTTTAGGGGAGAGAGGTAGCTCTCGGGTCAGTCCTGTCTGGGGTGTTCCCCTAGATGACGGAACGTGGGGCTGCAGCTGAGAGGGTGGGGCTGGTGCCGGTGAGACAAGACAGGAAGGCTGCTGAAGCACAAGGACACCTCTGCACAGGCCCGATTCCCCAACACCTCAGGTCAGACCGGCACAATGACTGCTAGCTAATTAAAAAGTACATTTCCAGATATGGGCGCATGAAATGGCAAACGTGAGAGCAGAAACATGGATGCTGAGATCCAGAGACACAGGAGGCCTGAAATGAGACCAGCTGTGAGTATAACTGCACCCTGCCCTAAACTCCTCCAAATGTGGCAGGTCTGCAACCCTGACTCTCAGCCTAACCCCTGAGAAGGGCTAGTCTTAACTCTATTGCAGGACAAGGGCTCTTTAAATACTGAAAACTGCTGACATTTTCTCATGTATTTCATCCGATAGGATATTAACTAATAGATAAGATCTGTTTCGGTTTGGGCAGTGCCTAGCAGTGAAATTCTCCTTTGAACATGTTTCTGGTGTTTTCAAGAAGCCATTAGTGTTGGCTAGCACTGCCCAGTGGATGGACTAGCCACTGGGAAGTTATTGACACAGTCTAGCTCACGCACTCTGCTCCTCAGAGGCTCCATCCAGCAAGGTGCCTGCTGTCACAGATGCCGGGAATGTGGGCTAAATGCACGAGTCGATGAATGGATGAATGAATGAATATATACCTCGGCCAGTTTCCATGACCCCAAAGTTCAGCAGGTACTTGTCATGTGAAGCTGCTACTGAAGAAACCTGAACAATGTGCTAATTTTATATGCCAAGGCGAAGAAGGGAGAGGTAAGAAGAGGTGAGTGAACTTTTAGGTAGCCAGGAAAATAAAACAACAAGTTGCTAACAATGTAATGAAATTGTTTTTTCTGCTCCTCGTGACCAGGGATTGCCTGGCAAACTTCTGCAAGGGTCAGCCAGATAGTGAATCTTTTCACAATTACTCAGTGTTTCTGTGGTAGCCCAAGAGCAGCCACAGATAATTCATAAATTCATGGGCGTGGCCGTGTTCCAATATAACCCTATTGCACCCTTTAAATTTCATGTAATTTAGTCTTCTTTTGAAACCCCCCCCCCAACTATTCAAAGCTTTCTTATCTCATGGGATTTGGTCCATGGTCCGTAGTTGTCAGCCCTGCTTTTGACAAGCACTATTTCAACACTCTTAACAATTCTCTTAAGCGTTGAGAACCGAACCCTTCAGAACTGACAGCCCTTTTTTCATCACAGCAGACTCCCAAGCAAGAACATTATTTGGAACATCACAGGCATCTACCACACAGTAACTTCTGGCCAGGTGATCTTCTTGGATTCCTATCACAAGTTGAAAAGTCTACCTTCAGTTTGATTTAGAGCTGAGGGATGAAGGGAACTCTGTAAATAAATGAAATCCACAGAGAATCAAAGAGTCCTCACATCGGTTCACCACTATTCGGGCCATGTCCACCAAAAACACCATTACAGCTGCCAGGAGATAATCGCTTCACCTACTGATGGTCTAACTCTTCTTTCCTGCCTGCTCTCTGTGGAGAGTGAGGAATAATAAATAAACAGCTAGTTCCTGAGTAAGTAACAAGGGCCCCACACTCAAATGTGCAGTCTGGAACGCCTACCTGAACAAACCACGACAGCAATCTAGTAGATAGTTTATTCTAGCTATTCATTAAGAATTTAATTTTATCAATTAAGTAAACAGATGCAGGAACTTGTATCACTTTATAAATACCACCAACATACGTAAATTAAGGCTGAATCCAATTTTTCAAGGGCTTCACTACATTTCAATATAGGTAAACTTTGGGGGTTGAGATAAATACACTGTTTTTTTCCTTCTCAGTAAATATGCTAAATTTAAAGATGTTTCCAAAGATCTACATAAAAATCTGGGAATTTCATGATGGGCCTTTTGCCCATATAAATATCCTATCGGTTCTAATAAGTTCATATCTATTGTCTGAATAGAAAAATATTAACTAGCTGAAAATAACTTTTGAGAAAATCTTACTTTAAAAAATATAATTTGTCATATAAGACGATAACTAATTTTAAAAAATCCTTTCTATCCTGAAAAGTCACAACAAAAAGTTTAAGTGTGTTTTGGCAGATTTTTCTCTGCAACTGTTTGAAGCTGTAAATGACTTAACTCAGTAAAATTCCAAATGTAATTATCTTCTGTACTTAGCCTAGGGCTCTCCATATATCTCAGCACTGCTGCCTCGCATACAAAACAGCCTTTCCAACGGCTGGGGACAATATAATGCACAACATTGTTTTAATTTCCCGGAGTCGGCTAACCTCGAGCCCGCACTAACCAGCCAGAGGAGGCGCCGCGGTGTCATGGGCACTCACGCCTGTGGAACTCGGTTGCACAGATGGGGTTTGCAGGGTCAGGCTTTTGCAATTGTACATTTTAATAATCTCCATCTCTGACCCAATTTTTACTTTTAGAAATGAATTTTCTATTAATTATACCAAGAATGGAGTTATTGTTAAAATATGGTAGTTCATAAACAAGTTATATCAGGAAGTGGACCCCCTCCCATTCCTCACAGCTGGGACCCGCAGGAAAACTGGCAGAAGCTTATTTTCTCTAATCGTAAAATAGATTCAATATGACCCAATGGATTTCCAAGTACAAAGACTTTCCATATACGTGTGTTTGTCCGTCTGTCCGTCCGTGTACTGAAAACATGCAGTGACCTCTTGGCTGATCTCTGCCGTGGAGAGGAAGGGAAGGACAAGGCAGACAAGGAATGAGTGCCGTTTCTGCGTCACTCAGAAGGCTCGCCCGCGCTGGGCGCACTCGCAGCGAGTCTCGCTCACACTCACGTTGGTTTTCTCAACCTCTCTCCCCGACTTGTCTCCCCAGCTCCAGGTTAATAATATTAGCAACTTAGGGGACTTAACTAACAACAGTTAACCAGCGAGTTAAAGGAGAAGGGGGTGCGGGCGCGGACAGGGAGAGCTGGCTGCAGCACACAGACGCAAGGGCCCCCAAGAGTGAACGGAGGGGGCCTCCCCGGAGAGTGAAAACTCAGACGGAATCAAATCAGATACAGCGAGCTCTGGGCCTTCCATTCGATCACGAGGACACAGGGACTCATTGCAGACACTGCGAAGCTTGGAGTGTGAGGAACACTGAGGTAATAGGAAAAGGAAATTGGGTTTTAC